AGTTGTGGAGGAAATTTCATAGATGGGGGAAGGGTCTACCCTGGATGCAGGCCATAAAGGGGTACATCTTTTATAGGTAATTGAATAACAATAGTAAAACCAACTATAGGTTGGCTTGCTTCTGATCACTATAAGCCAGTGATTTTGAAGGGTATCAGTGATGAAATCCTTCTCCCACTGCCCCTCCTTGGTTTGCTGCTGCAAAAGGACTGGGGTGATTGGAGACAGCCAACTAGGGCAGGGCATCAGGATCCTGGGCTGGGAAGTTTCTCCATGGACTTCTGGAGTCTGACAGGATGTAATCGAATGCTGTCTGCACTACTAAGGTGGAGATGCGTTTAGGTTGTGGGAATGCAGTCTGTCAGGAAACACCCTTGTGTTTGGATTTCATTCTGTAAAACACTTCTAATAGGCATATCCCTTCCCCTCTACCCCAGATAACCAAGTCCTGACCTCACCTTGGATGTGGAGGTGGATGATTTGTTGAGCTTGGTACAGAGAGCTGGTGATCTGGCAAATGTAGGCCCCCTCATCCTTCACAGTTAGTCCGGGGAGGGTGAGGGAGGCATTTCCAGCTGTGAGTTGCTGCTCAGGCTCCAGGGTAGCGCCCTCCCGCTTGACCTGCTCCTGCCCTGTAGTCCAGCTGTACACCAGCTGGCCACTGCCTTTATGCTGTAGCCGCCACTCCACGCTGGTGAGGTCCGAGCCTGGTGCCATTGAGAAGCCACAATGCAGGGTGGCTGAGGACCCCAGCAGGAAATTCAGGGATGGGGTCTGTGTTGTCACCTGGAACTCCACTGTGGTGAGAGAAAGAGGGGTGATGGTGGACTGCTTTCTCTTGAGGTCACCTGATCTCTGAGCTGTGGGCATGTTGTGGACATACACCTGCCCCTGCCTCCCCTCCTGGACAGTGAGGCCAATAGAGCTCATTTCCCATTGGACAGAACCACAAAGAAATGGGGCTGTGGAAAGGCAGTGTGGCATGTGTGGTAGTCTTAACTCATTTGGAATTGCCCCTGGACAACTTGATGAAAGCTATGGACCCCTCACTAGGGCAATACACATGCAAAATTATGGGTTACTGCTGTGCTGACTCTGGTAAGAACTCCTGAGGTAGCAGAACAATCTTTGGAACCCTGGTTCTTCCATGTAAGAGCTCTGTGACTTTAGACATCAGTTGGTGTTGCCAAGCTCATCTGCTGAAGGCGAGGCGGCTATGAAGACTATAAAGGAGTAAGTTTAAAAAGCACATAGTGGTTGTATTTGTGCCAAACTTGCTGAACCTAAATCTGATGAGGAAAACAATCAGACACATCCACGTGACGGGATACATTACAAGACAATGGGCCTGGGCTTTTCTAAAATGTCAGTGCTATGAAAGACTATTCTGGAGTAAAGGACCACAGATGATCTGGTGGTAGGAGAGCCATGAGCCCAGAATAGAGGTGTGGAGAGGAGGGGACCCCAGTACCTGGTGGGGCAGTCCAGGTGCTGGCCTGAAGGGGCTCATCCAGGGAGACGTGGGTGACCTGGCAGGTGTAAGTAGCACCTGCAGAACCAGGTTCTGCTTTCAGAGAGGAGGAGATGCTGTAGGTGCCTGCTTGGCTTTGCCGGAGGCTGGAGAAGGAAGCATCAGAGATTTTGACTGGGGCTCCACCCAGCTCCTCTCGGATCCATGTCACAGTTATGTCCGGAGGATAATAGCCGGCGATGTTGCAGATGAGGGTGAGTGGCAGAGCTTTACTTGCCAAGCTCAGTTGTACTTTGGGGGAAGCTGGAAGAAAGAATGAATAGATTCCAGGGAGATCAACAGGACAGTAGAGGAGCCTAAAGCTTTTTCTTCCTGCGGAAAGCGAGATGAGTTGTGGAGGAAATTTCATAGATGGGGGAAGGGTCTACCCTGGATGCAGGCCATAAAGGGGTACATCTTTTATAGGTAATTGAATAACAATAGTAAAACCAACTACAGGTTGGCTTGCTTCTGATCACTATAAGCCAGTGATTTTGAAGGGTATCAGTGATGAAATCCTTCTCCCACTGCCCCTCCTTGGTTTGCTGCTGCAAAAGGACTGGGGTGATTGGAGACAGCCAACTAGGGCAGGGCATCAGGATCCTGGGCTGGGAAGTTTCTCCATGGACTTCTGGAGTCTGACAGGATGTAATCGAATGCTGTCTGCACTACTAAGGTGGAGATGCGTTTAGGTTGTGGGAATGCAGTCTGTCAGGAAACACCCTTGTGTTTGGATTTCATTCTGTAAAACACTTCTAATAGGCATATCCCTTCCCCTCTACCCCAGATAACCAAGTCCTGACCTCACCTTGGATGTGGAGGTGGATGATTTGTTGAGCTTGGTACAGAGAGCTGGTGATCTGGCAAATGTAGGCCCCCTCATCCTTCACAGTTAGTCCGGGGAGGGTGAGGGAGGCATTTCCAGCTGTGAGTTGCTGCTCAGGCTCCAGGGTAGCGCCCTCCCGCTTGACCTGCTCCTGCCCTGTAGTCCAGCTGTACACCAGCTGGCCACTGCCTTTATGCTGTAGCCGCCACTCCACGCTGGTGAGGTCCGAGCCTGGTGCCATTGAGAAGCCACAATGCAGGGTGGCTGAGGACCCCAGCAGGAAATTCAGGGATGGGGTCTGTGTTGTCACCTGGAACTCCACTGTGGTGAGAGAAAGAGGGGTGATGGTGGACTGCTTTCTCTTGAGGTCACCTGATCTCTGAGCTGTGGGCATGTTGTGGACATACACCTGCCCCTGCCTCCCCTCCTGGACAGTGAGGCCAATAGAGCTCATTTCCCATTGGACAGAACCACAAAGAAATGGGGCTGTGGAAAGGCAGTGTGGCATGTGTGGTAGTCTTAACTCATTTGGAATTGCCCCTGGACAACTTGATGAAAGCTATGGACCCCTCACTAGGGCAATACACATGCAAAATTATGGGTTACTGCTGTGCTGACTCTGGTAAGAACTCCTGAGGTAGCAGAACAATCTTTGGAACCCTGGTTCTTCCATGTAAGAGCTCTGTGACTTTAGACATCAGTTGGTGTTGCCAAGCTCATCTGCTGAAGGCAAGGCGGCTATGAAGACTATAAAGGAGTAAGTTTAAAAAGCACACAGTGGTTGTATTTGTGCCAAACTTGCTGAACCTAAATCTGATGAGGAAAACAATCAGACACATCCACGTGACGGGATACATTACAAGACAATGGGCCTGGGCTTTTCTAAAATGTCAGTGCTATGAAAGACTATTCTGGAGTAAAGGAGGTGAAAGCCACAAGACAACTAAATGAAATCCATGATCGTCGTCTGAATCCTGGACTTAAAAAAACCAGAACGCTATAAAGAACATTATTGGGGCAACTGGAGAAGTTTGAATTTGGACCTTATACTTGACAGTATCATTGAGTCAAGGTTAAATTATTGATACTTAAGTACGATGCTCAGTGGCATAGCAAGCAGTTGGTGGGGGGAGATGGGAACAATTCTTAAATTCTTAACATGCTGTATCCCCTTACTGTCTGTACCACGGCAGACAACTCCCCACCTTAGTTTGCTGAGATGGTTTTGTGATTATGAAGGAGTTAATGTTTACAGACTAACACATGTTATGCATGGCAGCATTTGGGGTGAAGTGTTGAGATTTCTGCAATTTTAGGGGATTATCTATGGAGAGAATGTCAAAAAATGTTAACAGTTGGTGGAACTAGATGAATGATGTACAGGTGTTCATTATTATTATTTCACCTTTTATAGTTTTTAAATATCCCCAAATAAAAAGGGAGTATCTAGCTATGCCAGGACTGTGGTTGACCCTGGACAGACATGAGAACCCCTCTTTTCGAATGTAGCAGGATAAATTTAGGTTGGACCACAGAAAGGTCGAGTGTTTTAGGGCTTTCTAAGGATAGGATCATAGCCCCCTAATCTTTGGACTTGGGTGTCTCTTTTTGGAGGCAAAATATGGGATTCGATGAACTCTAGAGAAACTTACCATTGTGTTCTCAATTTCCTGTGCCTTCTGGGAGGTATTGGGTTGGAAAGGGCAAGGCTGGGTTTTGCTAAGAAGAGATAATGAGCAAATTCTGCATTCTTGTGTTTTGCTCTAATCATCTTGAAGCACCAGACCAGGCTGACTTTTCATTAAAGAAAACTGTTTGGTTCAGTAAGACAACTATGAACAGCATACAGGAGCAGAGCACCACACGTCTTAGCTCCTCAGGCAACACAGTGAGGAGAAAATTATCCCCATTTTGGGTCTTTCAGAAGAAAGGACCTTGGCCTAGAGGACACCCTAAGATGACTGACGTGGATGGAGATGGACTTGTTGCCTTCCTTCTTCTATCCTGCCATCTCTGACCACTTAAAAAAATAAAACTTTCTTTTTGCTCCTTTTCATTTTCTTACCTGCGGTCTGCACAGTTCCCTGCGGGCCCAGGGGTAGGTGCAGTGTGGGGTGCAAAACAGCCCCATCGTGAGCATCCCTGAGAGTCTTCATCACTATAGAGACGCTAGGTCCCCCTTCAGATATCTGCATGTTGGTAATGAACCACGCAGCTGTCTCAGTAGTGGCCTCTTGTCTGGCCCGGAGAAAATAGCGGGAGATCTCACAGGTCACCTCCTGCCCGCTGCAGTCAGCATGGAGCAAGGCCTCAGCCTGGGGAATCTGTACCAGGTCCACTGGGGGAGAAGGGCAGCACAGAGGTTGAGCTGGACTGAGAACGTGGGAAGCAGATGTGGGTGGGTGTACTGGGAACTGGGTTGTCCCAGTGGAGGGAGCCCGGAAGGACTGGCACACAGGGCAGAGGCTCTTACCTGAGGCTTCAAAGGTAACAGGTGAGCCGTCTTTGGCCTGTGTGCCTCCTTGGAAATCAGTGAAGCTTTCCAGGGAGCCATCGTCCAGCATTGGCACCTGCCTCAGCACCAGCAAGGCTTTCACCATGTTCTCGCTGCTAGGAAAACCTGAACGATGCCTGCCTTCCTCCACCAAGAAGCAGTCCAAGACCACATCCACTGGCCGCCACTGGCTTTCTGCTGCAGGGAGAAGGCTGGGCTGCAGCCACACCCTCTTGCCCAGAAAGTTATTTCTATACTCTGCCCCGCCCTGGCCTGCCCCAACTGTGGAATCTTCAAGGGGTAAAAGTTGTCTTCCAGGGTCCTAGCTATCTCTATGTCCCTCTCTTCTCTAATCATCCCCACAAACAGCTTTCTGGGAAGCACCTGCCATTCCAGGTGCATACTTGGTGTGAATTATTACTTAAGGTCCTGGATTTTCCTTGCTCAGAGGGGTTTATGGTTTTTTATTTCTAATCATCGGATGAAAACCTCTTCAGTCAAAGGAATTCTCAGCAAAAGCAAATAAATGAGCAAAATTGCCATTGGGAGAGGAGACGGGATGTTTGTGCTGCTAGGGGTGTTGGCAGCCATCTCAATTTCAGAGCCAGTCCACAGGTATGCTCCACTTTCTGCCATTAGAAGTGGCCTTCCCCTCCCCCAACTCCGGGGTCACATCCCTAGTGATTTCCGAGCTGGGGAACCCCTTCCTCTTCTGAAGATGCCCCTTTTCCCGTAGGACAGTGGCCCCTCCCTCAGTGGCCTCCACTGTGGAGGCCCCTCTTTTTCTTCGTCTGGGCTTTCCCCCACTGGTCTGAGCCTCTCTCCCCAACACAATTGGTTCCTTCCTTTGCCAGCCATTGAGTCTTTCTCCTGTTGGGCTTCTATGGTGATTGGAAGCCACCCTGGCCCCTTTCCCCTTCTGGAATCTCAGGGAGGGTGCTTCCTTAGCCCAGCCTTTCCCTCCAGCCTATTCCCCACTCACCTGTGTCTGCCGCTCCGGACAGAGCCAAGCAGAGCAGCAGGCACCACCCCTCCTCCATCCCCATGGAGGCTGCTCTCAGGCCCCCCGCACCGGCTGCCCTTCTCCACGGCCTCCCTGTTTGCAAGGTCCTGGCTGGAGAAGGAAGGTCTCTCCAAACGTGTTTTGCTGGTTGCTCTTCCTTCTGTCCTCGGCCCACTTCTCTTTCTTTCACTTTCGCTTTGAGGAAGTGTCACTGTGGCTGCCTTTGCCTCTGGGTGAAGCCATTTGTGGCTGGTGCCAGAGTTCTAGTCACAGTTCTCTTTTCTTCCCACCTCCCTCCCCCGCCAAATCTCGTGGCGATTTCAAGGCCTGACTTCACAGCGTGCACCCTTTTGCTCCCCACCAGCCAAGAAAGT